TCAATCTTCCGTTTAAAATTTCGACCCTTGTAGGAATCAAGAGGATAAGTAAGTTTAAAAAAGAAGGAATCATCCCTGCTGTCATTTCGTTTTGTTTACACAGACCGAAAGCATCCTGATTTTGATTTGTTAAACTTTAGCCTGATGCTGAGCCAATGGAAATCGATGACTTTTAATACCAGATGTTGGTATTACTATCTCGTTTACCAGAACGTTAAAACAATAAGGGTTTTAACAGAATCATCCTTCATCAGCCTCCTTCATTACAGTCTGTCGTTTTCGTTTTTTAAAGCATTCAAAATAGATTAGGTGGTGAGAGAAATAGAATATAATAATTTAATTTGGTGGCACCTTGGCATAGGTGCGGGAAGGTAACCAACAGTAAAAATATGGCTGAGAAGAATGCTTTGAAACCCACTAGTGATCACACGTACAATTAAGCCACAGATCGGTATGAGACTAGAGATCTGAAATGGGACTGAAATTCTTCCTTACCTGTGGCGAGTTTAGTTACCTTGTCTTCTAAATTAGGCGACAGGACATACAAAGGTGCAAAGCTTATCCAAATCGCATGCGCATCACTTCTTCAACCATTCTTCTGGTCGGGGAATTTCCCTAGCATGATAAGAGAATGATGGTATTTAAAGAAATTGTTGGTGGTTGTTAAGTGTTGATCCATCATAACTGTTTATATTTTGAATCTAGAGGGCACAACGACGAGGAAAGTAAAGGAACGTTAAAGGTTTCATCGTCTGTTCAATTATTTGTCTTTAACGAGATACTGAAACTCTGAACACGATAAAAGTCAACGCATGCCTGTGAGGGATTCTACCTGCAAATATTCCACATGACAAAACTACAAAAGTGAGTAAATTGTGCTTTATGGCAGCAAGTACAACGCAGTCGGTGCTGCATTCAGAAATCCACGAGTCACCTTAACCTGTCGTTGGATTAAATAAGAATGAGGAAATTTTTACGATTCCCTCACCAATTTCATCTGAATCTAGGATTACCTTTGACATGAAAACAGGAATTAGGGATAGGACAGCAGTCTAAAGCAGATATACAGCGAGGAAAACTGAATTGAACACAAACCCGTATGGAAGGGGATCCGTATAATTTTAAAGCAGTGTCCCTACAGTTATTAATAGCTTCGTACTGAAACACAGGAATTAAGTAGCTACCAAACGAAGACATCGTGCTCAGCATTTCTGTTGAACTAAAATATGAAATTCTCTCAGCCTAACTCTGCCCTTCATTCTCACTGAAGAATTTTGGCTCAAGCAGTGGAAACTTGGAAGTCGTAACACCATCCCCTACAGTTCTGCGTTCCAAGACCTTCCAGTTCCGATAGAAGGCGTACGGTATATTCGAGTACTTATATTCAGACACAATGGTAAGACAAGCGATTTTAGCAAGCCTTTAAGACCGGTCTACCCAACAAAAGCAAGAAAACAGCCGAAATGACCCAAAGTATATATATTTAGTCGAATAAACAAAGTATTAAACTGTTGATCGTTGACAGAGTTTTACTACTAATGCACTTCCAGTGATCAAGCATTTTTTGCATCAAGTAATGGATCGAACAAGCGCTTTCACTAAATTGAATTCCTCTTCTTTTTCCTTTAGCTTGTCAGCAATTTCTAGGTTAAAACCTTAATGATGTAAATATCCATCTTTCTCCAATAACAAATGGCAAATCTACTATTGATCTCTAAATATGAAGGAATGTAGGAATAAAAGAGCACGAACGTATACATTTATGGAGGTAAAGTAGATTTTGCTATCGGCTTCGAACAATTACAAGTCCATGTATTGGACTCGAGGAAGGTGGCACAGTGAATTCTTGCATTTAACACTGGCACAATGTTCGTACTATGCTAAAGTTGAGGAGATGGAAGGCTACTACGTCCACTAAAGTCATTACCATTAGTTTACGAGTGAATCAAGTGACCGATGTAGATAGTATAGCCTGTCACTCCTCTTCCGCTCTGTTGACAAGATTCTCATAAGCCTGCAGCCTGTGATTTGTTTCATCTGGCATAGAGGAAAGTTGGGGATTGTAGTACTAAGGGACCTAAAATAGTGTCAATTTTTTCCAGACCTAATGTTACATCCTCCTCTGCTAGAGCCACGTTAGAATTGAATTTGGCTTCTGATATATAAGGCATTTTAAACAATTATTACGAATAACAGACCGACTCATCATCATTTAAAATCTGACTAAATGAAAACCCACTCAGAGGAAGTTAGTTGAGCTGGAGTTTAGTCTCGAAAAACCATTTCCTATGATAAAACCTCCAAATTTTAGATGAATAGATGCAATAAACACTAATGTGTTTAAATTGCCCTTATAGGGATATGGTTGGCCAACTTGAACACTAATCCTGTGTTTGAAGAACGCAAGAATCCTTATCCTTTCTATTCTCTAAAGGATTCTAATAACCCTTTCCAAACAATTCTTTTATGAAGTCGGAGCTTCAGTAAACTTGGGGTAGGCTGGAGGGCCTATAATGGGTGCATGAGGAAAGAAGGTGATAATTACTATGCTTCACTTACTTACAATGGTATTTAAGATGCCATATTCCTTGTCTTAAATGCGGTGCTGCTTACTACAAAATCATGACTTATGGTTCGTAATGAGTGAATGAAGTTACAAAGATGAAGTGTGGCCGACTTCTGAAAACTTCGAGCCAACTCGTGCAAGTCCTCCCAGAAGATTGGTCAAATGCCAATGTATCCTATCCGTTACTATCTTCTAAGCCCTTCCCAGTCGCCTCTCAAGGAAGATGCTTATGTGAGTTTTACTAAGCATCTAGTGCAGGATATAATGGATAGTGTAGGAAAAGAGAAAAGTAGTGTCTTTGATAGCCTGAGAATGAGTCAATTGGATCCTCTAGTAAATAGCGTAAGTTTGAATCCCACCTAACACCCGCAAGGCACATTTTAAAGAGCTGCTATGAGCTGCAGCTGTGATGAGCGTAAAAATAAAAAGAAAAGGGTTAATTGTGCAGAGTAATTGACAAGGCTTCCAAGCATGGGAATGCTGTAATAATCAGCAAAGCAAGAGTAGACACCCACCATTCCTTTGCACAATGAAGTTTCTTACTCTACTGCTATATTAAGTATGGCGAGAGACTCCTATAACTATGGTCGAGAGAGAAGGGGAACATAGACTTGGCTTGCAGGTCAACCCACATACCCAAGAGAAGGATGAATACCAAAGTGACGGCCATTTTATGCATGTAGTCACGGAAACCATGACAGTATTCATCTTTAGTCGCATTATCGAAGTTAAACAGGATTTTTAACTTTGCATACAGACGCAGGGTTTTGCATTAGGATTATGCAAACTCTGAGACACGTGCCAATACATTTCTTTTGCATTCATCTCTACGATTGTTGAAATGTTGCTAAGGCTAAATCACAATTAGATTAACCCATGAATCTTCATTAAAAGTCGACTGAGTAAATAGTGTTGATGTCGCAAATCTTAACAAATAAAAACCTAAGCGCTTGCTCCCAATTCAGGTGCTATTAAGACTGTATGGAATAAATAAGAAATGTTTTGCACCACCTTTACATTTTCCTGCCATTTGTAATCTTTAAAGCTTAATTTTATACCAATTTTTAGGGGGTCTTTAAATCATTTTTAAATTTTTTTACATTTATGAATGCTTTCCATTGTCGTCCAGAAGACCCTCTGAGATTATTTAAACAAATGTTAAATTATTTTTGGACTATGGACATCCAACCCTTTGAACTTCGGATTCAAATCGAACCATAATTACAAATTCGTCAATATATTCGCGCTGCTAATGTTACTCAAAAACCTGTTTCTTGAAAAAATCTAATGCTAACGCCTAGTCTTGGAGAATTTTAGTGTGCCGAGCACACGACGAATAACAAGTAACTCCCATTTTCAGGCCAACTCATGCTTAAGAAATATGACAGAATCGTGTGGAGGAGTCTTAGACAAATTCTAGATAATTCGAAGGGGCAGCCACCATTTTTAATAGTCGTTTGAACCTTATAGAACCAAAATCCACACAGTCTAACTGTGCGTAATGCGCTGCTTAGTTAGCCACCTATATGGATGGCGGCCACTTTGGCCACTACTGGCCTCGTGTTTGGGCGATCGGTAGTTGAAGGTGAAAGCAGTAAACAGTGAATAGTGTAGCTACGACCTAAGGTCATGTCAAAGAGATCTATACTACCAAGTGGAGACCTGCAGGTTCTGTGACTGCTAATCTCAACCCTCAGTCATGGCTTTCTAGAGCGAGATTTGACTTGGCCGTGACTAATAGGATGTGTCGGCAGACGTTGCAACGACACATGGATTCGGTTTATAGCGGGGCTTTAGTCCCAATGGACGCATCCTCGCCACTGAGTCCTTCAACGAGTGTGTCCATATCTGGAACATCGATACTTGGGGACCTGTCAACATACATCTTCGAAGTCTGCTAGAACAGCTGAAAGAAATTCGACTCGTTCGTAGTAAGAGCAAAATAAAATAGCATATTTTTTGCGCAAGGGCAAGAAATGGGGTGATGACATTTACGTCGACACCTGCAACAGGCGGGTCATTGTTATTCTGCGTACGTTCTGAATTAGAAAGGCAGATCAACCAATCAAGATTAAACGGCTACTTCGTGCCGCCAGGCTTGTTCTTAAGATTAATTCAGGAAAATTTACAGTGCTCTGAGACAGAAATTAGAATCGAAGACGCTATTTAAAGCGTAGTGGGTCCCTTTCCTTCATTGGCAGTATTGTTCCTAGCGTGGTTGTGAAACAAAAGAGTTTACTCAGGCAGCATCATCGACAGCTTCATCCTTCTGGTTCCATTGCCTATAACTCTTTAACCGACCACCAGCCACGGTGCAATATTGCATTGAATCTCGTAGTCATGCTCAGTGTCTTTTACTGCCCACTGAGAAGTTTTTGACAATGCACCGTAAATAACCATCCATTAGTAATTTAAATTTTAAGCTGCAAAGTGTTAATAGAGTGTGATAAGTCCGTTACTACATTGTTGAAACTGAATAGTCATTTAAAATGATGTCAAATGCTTTTAAAACTTTGCAAGAAATTTGAACGAAAAATTGGCTGT